CAGCATTTGTTCTCCACTCCACTGGTAAATTAACCAGCCAAGTCTTTCTCTCCTCATCCTCCCTTGCTCCACTATGCCTGTCAACCAGAAGAAGCAAGACTGAAATTCTCCAAGTGAACCTGCTGGAGCCTCTTTCCCTTGAACTGAGATGACGAGAAGGAAAGGGACCCTCCAATACTTTCCTCACAAGACCCTTTGCAATAGCCAACAACTTGAACCTTCTATATCCTCTATACTGCAGACAAGTCAAGTCTTGCAATAAACTCTGTATTATTCATGCAATAATTTCTTGTAATAATAAGGTGGTCTGTCACTTTGGAATGTGGCATCTATTGTCAACAGAAACCAAAATAGCAAGAGTTCCATATTAACACCCTGTAACCCAAAGGAGGACTTTTTCAGATAAATAGTATACTGTCTGTCACGCTGTGCTGGAAGCTGGATTCATTTGGTAGTTTTCAAGCTTTACTGGGGTCAAGTTTTGCAATTTTATGGCAGTGCTTTGGGGACTTTAGGTGGGAATAAGAATAAAGCTTCAAGTGGTGCTCAGTTCTGCCACCTTCATGTCAACCAAAGTTGCTCAGCTTTTGATTTTTGTATGTTGAGTTTTAATGTTAAGATTTCACTGGGAGAAGGTTATGCTGCCAAAAAGAGGCTGCTTCCTGGTAGACCTCATCTTAACTATTGATTAATTCACTCATCTGTCTATTCTGAGCAAGACACCAGTCTAGGCAGTTTCACTCTGATCCTGGGAGTTCAGAACTGCTGTTGCAGCTAATCTACAGGGCTTCCAATTATAAGTTAAAACAGCTCTGCGTAGGCCAGCCACTTTTTCACTGGATGAGCTTAGAGGAGTTACTGAAACTTTCTATGTTTCAGTTTTTTCATCTGTTAAATACCTATCTGGTAGTATTGTTTTGAATTGTGTATGCCAAGTGTCTTGCATGGTACTTCCTGAGTGTATATATGTTGGCACTTAGGAATCACAGCTATGTGACCTTTGAAAGCTGTCTTGGAAGCTAAGAAGCAAAGTTCACAGAAACCATCCTCTCCTGTGTCATTAATTTAAAGGACCTTGCTCTGGCGACACCTGTGAAAAAGGGACACCGTGTCTTCTCAAACCATTTCCTTCTCCTATACCCTAAGTGAGAGATGAAAATGGAGTTTTCTTGGAGCCTTTTATTGTGAGTACAGGGCATAAGGGAAATGTCTCCCTGACTTGAATGCATACCAGGAGCAAGAAATCAGAAGCACCATTTACTGAATAGGGAGTCCTTACCCTATTACTTGTTTTTGTCAGCTTTTTAAAAGATCAGATGGCTGTAAGTGTACAGCCTTATTTCTGGTCTCTCTATTGTTCCATTGGTCTATGTGTCTTCTTGTACCAATACCACACTCTTTTGGTTACTGTGGCCTTGTAGTATAGTTCAAAGTTAGATAATGAGATATCTCCAGCTTTGTTTTTCTTGCTTAGGCTTGCTTTAGTTATTTGGGCTCTTTTTGGGTTTCATATGAATGCTAAAATAGTTTTTTTCTAGTTCTATAAAGAATGTCATTGGTAGTTTGATAGGAATAGCATTGGATCTATAAATTACTTTGGTCATTACAGCCATTTCAATGATGCTGATTCTTCCAATCCATGAGCATTAAATGTTTTTCCATTTGCTTGTGTCATTTCTAATTTCTTTGAGCAGTATTTTGTAATTCTCATTTAGAGATCTTTTACCTCCCTGGTTAGCTGTATTTTTAGGTATTTTATTCCTTTTTTTGGCAATTGTAAATAGGATTGTGTTCCTCATTTGGTTCTTGGCTTGGCTATTGTTGGTGTATAGTAATGCTAGTGATTTTTGTTCATTAATTTTTAACCCAAAACTTTGCTGGAATTGATTATAGCTCAAGGAGCTTTTGGACTGAGACTCTGGGGTTTTCTAGATATAGGATTATGTCATTTGCAAACAGGAACAATTTAACTTCCTATTTTCCTATTTGGATGCCCTTTATTTTTTTCTCTTTGCCTGATTTTTCTTCTTTTCTTTTTTTGTCTTTTTTTTTTTTTTTTTTTTTTTTTTTTTTTTTTTTTTTTTTTTTTTTTTTTTTTTTTTGTGACGGAGTTTCGCTCTTGTTAACCAGGCTGGAGTGCAATGGTGCGATCTCGGCTCACCGCAACCTCCGCCTCCTGGGCTCAGGCAATTCTCCTGCCTCAGCCTCCTGAGTAGCTGGGATTACAGGCATGCGCCACCATGCCCAGCTAATATTTTTTTTATTTTTAGTAGAGACGGGGTTTCACCATGTTGACCAGGATGGTCTTGATCTCTTGACCTTGTGATCCACCCGCCTCAGCCTCCCACAGTGCTGGGATTACAGGCTTGAGCCACCGCACCCGGCCTGCCTGATTTTTCTGGTCAGGACTTCCAACCCTATGTTAAATAGTAGTGGTGAGAGAGGGCATCCTTATCTTGCACTGGTTTTCAAGATGAATGCTTCCAGCTTTTGCCCACTCAGTATTATGTTGGCTGTGAGTTTGTCATAAATGGCTCTTAATATTTTAAGGTATGGTCTCTTGATACCTAGTTTACTGAGGTAATCATGTGGGGTTTTTTTTTGCCTTTAGTTCTGCTTATGTGATGAATCACATTTATTGATGTGCATTATCTTGAGCCAATCTTGCATCCCAGGGATAAAGCCTACATGATCTAGGTGGATTAGCTTTTCAATGTGCTGCTAGATTCGGTTTGCCAGTATTTTGTTAAGGATTTTTGCGTCAATGTTCATTAAGGAAATTGACCTGAAGTTTTCTTTATCTGTTGTGTTTCTGCCAGGTTTTGGTATCAGTATGATGTTGGCCTCATAAAATGAGATGAGCCAGAGTCCCTCCTCCTCAATTTTTGGAATAGTTTCAGTTGGAATGATACCAGCTCTTTTTTGTACATATGGTAGAATTTGGCTTTGAATTTGTCTGGTCATGGGCTTCTGCTTCTTCTTTTTCTTTTTCTTTTTTTTTTTTTTTTTTTGGTAGGCTACTTATTACTGATTCAATTTTGAAGCTTGTTATAGGTCTATTCAGGGACTCAGTTTCTTCCATTTCAGTCTTGGGAGGGTGTATGTGTCCAATAATTTAACCATCTCTTCTAGGTTTTCTAGTTTGTGTGCATAGAGGTGTTTATAGTACTTTCTGATGGTTATTTTTATTTTTCTGGGGTCAGAGATAACATCCACTTTGGCATTTCTAATTGTTTTTATTTGAATCTTCTCTCTCTTCTTCTTTATTTGTCTAGCTCGTGGCCTATATTATTAATTTTTCCAAAAGAAAAACAGCTGCTGGATTTTTTGATCTTTCAAATGGTCTTTTGTGTCTTGGTCTCCTTCAGTTCAGTACTGATTTGTGTTACTTCTTGTCTTCTCCTAGCTTTGGGGTTGGTTTGCCCGTATTTCTCTAGTTCTTTTAGTTGTGATGTTAAGTTGTGAATTTGAGATCTTTCTAATTTTTTGATGTGGACATTTAATGCTATAAATTTCCCTCTTAACACTACCTTAGCTGTGTCCCAGAGATTCTGGTATGTTGTATCTTTGTTTTCCTTAGTTTCAAAGAACTTCTTGATTTTTGTCTTAATTTCATTATTTACCCCAAAGTTAATCAAAAGCATGTTGTTTAATTTTCATGTAATTGGGTAGTTTTGAGCAATTTTTAGTCTTGATTTCTGATTTTATTGTATTATGGTTTGAGAGTGTGTTTGGTATTTCAGTTCTTTCACATTTGCTAAGGAGTGTTTTATGTCCAATTGCATGGTCTGTTTTACAGTATGTGTCATGTGGTGATGAGAAGAATGTATATTCTGTTGTTTTGGGATGAAGTATTCTGTAGAGGACTATCAGATCCATTTGGTCCAATGTTGAGTTCAGGTCCTGAATACTGTTGCTAATTTTCTGCCTCAATCATCTGCCTAATACTGTCAGTGGAGTATTGATGTCTCCACCATTATTGTGTGGGAGTCTAAATATCTTTGTGAGTCTCTAAGAACTTGGTTTATGAAACTGGGTGCTCCTGTGTTGGATGTATATATATTTAGAATAGTTAGGTCTTCTTGTTGAATTGCACTCTTTACTATTATTGTCATTCCTCTTTTGTCGTTTTTGATTTTTGTTGGTTTAAAAGCTGTTTTGTCTGAAATTAGAATTGCAACTCCTGCTTTTTTCTTATTTCCATTTGCTTGGTAGATTTCCCTCTATGCTCTTATTCTGAGCCTATGGATTTCATTGCATGTGAGATGGATCTTTTGAACACAGCATACTATTGGGTCTTGGTTTTCTATCCAGCTTACCACTCTGTGCTTTTTAAGTGGGGGCATTTCACCAATTTACATTCAAAGTTAAAATTGATATGCATGCATTTCATCCTGCCATTGTGTTGTTAGGTGGTTATGATGCTGGCTTGTTTGTATGGTTGCTTTATAGTGTCACTGGCCTGTGCACTTAAGTATGTTTTTATATTGCCTATTAATGGTCTTTCCTTTTCATATTTAGTGATGCTTTCAAGATCTCTTGTCAGGCAGGTCCGGGGGAAACAAACTCCTCACCATTTACTTATTGGGAAAGGATCTTATTTCTCGTTTGCTAAGAAAGCTTAGTTTGGCTAGACATGTAATTCTTGGTTGAGGATTTTTTTTCTTTAAGAACATTATATAGGCTCTCAATCTCTTTTGGGTTGTAAGGTTTCTGCTGAGCAGCTCACTGTTAACCTGATGAGGTTCCCTTTATAGGTGATCTGCCCTTTCTCTGTAGCTGCCTTTAACATTACTTTCTTTCATTTTGACCTTAGAAAATCTGATTATGTGTCTTGGGGATGATCTTCTTCTTAGAATCTTACAGAGGTTCTCTGTATTTTCTGAATTTGACTGTTGGCTTCTCTAGAGCGGTTGGGGAAGTTTCCATAAATGATAACCTGGAATTTGTTTTCCAACTTGTTTGTGCCCTCCCCCTCTCTTTCAGGGATGCCAATGATTAAAAATATGGAACACTCTACAAATTTGCATATCAACCTTGTATAGGGGCCATGATAATCTTCTCTGTATCATTCCAATTTTAGTACATGTGCTGTTAAAGTAAGCACATAAACCAAGTTTTCTAATAACAAGGCAGATGCCTGTTCCCCAAGGGCAGCTTGCTCCTAAGGAAGAGGACGGAAGAGCTAACCATTCTCCATCGTCCTCCTAACCTTACTCATCTAATATTTCTATTTCTGTAGGAAGAAATAAAGGGTGGGACAATCAGCCAAAGTGTTTAGAGTAAATTTCTTGTTATAAACACAATCCTAAAATTCATATGGAACCAAAAAGGATCCCACATAGCCAAAGCAAGACTAAGCAAAAAGAACAAACCTGGAGGCATCACATTACCTGACTTCAAACTATACCACAAGGCTATAGTTACAAAAGTGGCATGGTACTGGCATAAAAATAGGCATGTACACTAATGACACAGAATAGAGAACCTAGAAATAAAGCTAAATATTTCCAGCTAACTGATCTTTGACAAAGCAAATGAAAACATAAAGTAGGAAAGGACATCACATTCAACAAGTGGTGCTGGGATAATTGGCAAACCACATGTAGAAGAATGAAGTTGGATCCTCATCTCTCACATGACACAAAAATCAACTGAAAATGGATCAAAGACTTAAATCCAAGACCAGAAACCATAAAAATTATAGAAGATAACACTGGAAAAACTCTTCTCAATGTTAGCTTAGGCAAAGAGTTCATACCAAAACCCAAACACAAATGCAATTTAAAAAAAAAAAAGATAAATAGATGGGACCTAATTAAACTAAAAAGCTTCTGCACAGCAAAAGAAATAATTGGCAAACAGACAACACACAGAATGGGAGAAAATTTTTGTAATTTATGTACCAAACAAAGGACTAATATCCAGAATCTATAAGAAACTCAAAAAAAATAGCAAGGAAAAAAACCAAAACAAATAATTCCATTAAAAAGTGGGCTAAGGACATGAATAGACAATTCTCAAAGGCAGATATATAAACAGACATCAAATTTAGGAAAAAATGTTCAATATCACTAATTATCAGGGGAATGCAAATCAAAACCACAATTCAATACCACCTTACTCCTGTAAAAATGGCTTAATTAAAAAATCAAAAATTAACAAATGTTGTCCTAGATGTGGTGAAAAGAGAACACTTTCACCTGGATGGTGGGAATGTAAACCAGTACAACCTCTATGGAAAACAGTATGGAGATTTCTTTAAGAACTAAGAGTAGACGTACTATTTGATCCAGCAATCCCACTACTGAGCATCTTCCCAGTGGAAAATAATTGATTATATGAAAAAGACACTTGCACACATATGATTATAACAGCACGATTTGCAATTGCAAAAGTATGAAACCAGCCTTAATGTCCACTGACCAATGAGTGGGTAAAGAAAATGTAATATCCACCATGTAATACTACTCAGCCATAAAATGGAATAAAATAATGACATTTGCAAACCTGGATAGACTTGGAGACCATTATTCTAAGTGAAGTAACTCAGGAATGCAAAACCAAACATCTTATGTTCTCACTTATAAGCAGAAGCTAAGCTATGAGGACACAAAAGCATAAGAATTATATAATAGAATTTGGAGACTCCAGGGGAGGGGTCGAGAGGGGGTAAGGGATAAAAGACTACACATTGGATACAGTGTACACTGCTCAGGTGATGGATGCACCAAAATCTCAGAAATCACCACTAATAAACTTTTTTATGTAACCAAACACCACCTGTTTCCCCAAAACAATTGAAATTTTAAAAAAAAGGAATAGTGAAGACATATTCTATCTGCTACCATGCACTGTAGCACTTTATCATGTTCTACGTTGAATAATATGTTGCCAGGGTGGCTAGGGCAGTGTTTCTCTAAAGGAAATGTCGTTTATTCTGTAACAGGAAATAGGATGGCTTTTGAGGCTGAAATTTCAGGGCTAAAGGGCAGAGTTAGGAGAAGGAGTTAGTTCTAGGATCCAGGTCTTACAGACCTGTCTTGGGGCAAATGGTTGTGTGGTGTGTGGGGTGTGTGTGTGAATGTATGTGTGTCCACACACTCACATGTACTTATGTGTAAAATAGAGGGGCTATGGATCCAAGTATAAAAGATTACTGATAACTGGGATTACAGAGGTAGGGAGGGACTATAGCTGAGTATATCCAGGGTGAGGGTATAAGAGGAGAGACATCCTCATCTCTATATCTGGAGAGCTTCCAGCTGGTAGGAACAGGGACCTGATGTCACCAGAGCTCTCCTTCAGTGGACAGGGGTTGCACCAGATTCCAGAATGGCCTGAATAGGGCGTGGGGTGGGTGGCCAAATTGCTAAGCTGCCAATGTTTCAGTAACACCATTCTTTTGGCACAGGAGCCAAATGAATCATGAATGTCTCCAACAGAACTAAAAGTCACTTCTCTTTAGCATCAGAGTAATAAAGACCAACTCCTTGGACTAAGGAAGTACAGGTTGAGTACCCTTTATCCAAACTATTTGGGACCAGCAGTGTTTCAGATTCTAGACATTTTTTGAGGGGGCGGGGGGTGATTTTGGAATATTTGCATTGTATGCCATTAGGCATCCCAAATCTAAAATCCAAAATGCTCCAATGAGCATTTCCTTTGGTGTTCAAAAAGTATTAGGTTTTGGAGAACTCTGGATTTTGAATTTTCAGCTTTGAGATGTTCAGACTCTATAGCTGGGATCTTAGAAGTTACCATAGTCAGAAAGATGTACACACCTGTTAGGATGAGGTCTCAGAGTTATTTCATCAGAATATCAAAAAGATTGGTTTCTTTTTTAATTCCCTAATTTGTGTAAATTAGGATGGCTTCTTGCTTACAACTTAGACTTTTGGAGATAGAGTAGCATAATGATTAACAGTATATATCCTGAAACTAAACAGCCTGGACTAAATCCTGGCTCTGCCATTTACAAGCCTCGTTACCTTTGCTGAAATCTCCTCAAGTGAGAAATAGTAATGGTAATAACTAACGTGTGGGATGTAGGGAGGATTAAAGAAAGTTAACATGTGTAAGCCCTTGGCACAGTGCCTGGCACATACCAAGTGTTCACTAAATGTCAGGTATTCATATTAATATTCTCTTGTTTCTTTTTCCTAGGTATCTTGCCTACTGCAATGGAAATGGAGTCTCCCAAAAGGCTTTCAGAACAGGTTGAGCATATTCACAATCAGCACTTAATGACAGAGCTCTTTCTTAAAAAGAAAGAGACTGAGCTGAAAAGAAACAGAATACCAGAATTCAGAGTTTGACATTAGGGTTTCCAGCTGAGAGTTATTTTAAGGTACAAGCAGGTAGTGTCATGAAGACTTGGGAGCAGCTCAGTAATCCCACAGAGAGACTCCACTGGCAAGCAAATCATTTAGCAGAGCCCAGGGTGTTCCTAAGAGATTCAGGCAGGGGGCCCAAATGTGATTATTTTTGTTTCCACTTCTAAGGAAAAGCTGGAAGGGAGAGAATTTGGATTGAGAGGGTAAAATAAGTGGATTGGATAAGATGATCTCCAAAGATTGTTCCAGCATTCTGCAAGGCACAGAGTCTGTGAGCATGACTAAAAGAAGGAATATTTTAAAATATTCAAGGCAGGAGAATTCAGGCAGATGCTCAGGAAAATATGTCCTAACCAAATTCCTGCTGAACCTCAGAATACCCTGGTAAGGCAAATGATGTGAATCTCATACCCAGAGTTATGGAAAATAAAATGAAACACATAAGCTTCAGGGAAAATCTTACACTGGTAGAGATATACGCTTCTTTATTCAGTCAGTCTTTCCTCATGTCAAAGGAAGCTTCAAAAGACTTTTGATGGACAAATTCAACAGCAGCTACAATCAAATCTTCCCTGTTCTCTTTTGTAATCTCCTATTTGAACAATAGTTATTAGGCCTAGACTTACAACGGCAAAATAATTCATAAATTATATTTAAATGTGATTGTCTAAAGATCTCAGGACTAGTACAGTGGTTTCTTACATCTCTAAGAAGCAGTCCAAATAGTTGTGCTATGAGTAGAGCTTGTGAGTTACAAGGTCACTAAATTAGGCTGTAAAACTCCATTTGATGAATAAGAATATGAAAATGAAATTAAAGTATTGCTGCAAGAGAGGAATTTTTGTGCTTCAAGAGATGAAAGATGGGGAAAGCTTTGGCAAGAACCAGGGATGAGACAAGCAACTGCTGTGCAAATCTTTTTGCTATTATTCTACCAGAGCATCCCTGATGTTTCCAGGCCAGGATTTCTCACCCTACACAAACACCAATCATTCTGCCAAGATGTTGGCTAAGCATTCTGTGTAGTTGTGCCACTCTATTCTGTCCATGAGCAAAGCTGCAGACTTACCATGCTCCTTCTCTCTCTGCCATTTGGTCTTTAAGATGGCTGTTGTTACCCTGCTTATCATTCCTTCTTTGGTGGAAAGAAGGGAAGACAAGAGAAACTTTCTAAGTCATCATCTGAAATCTGGAACAGCAGTCTTCCTCTGGTGCTACCTTCCTGCTCACCCGTCTTTAACATCTTAACAGCATGGCACAATTCAGTAGCATTCATGTTACAGTTGCATCTTGGGCAATCTTCTCTTGAGGCACAGAGAACATGCCTATTAGCACTGATTCCCTGTATCCTCAGTTGTCAGCCTCTTTGGAAAAGGGATTCTCATATAAGAATGATATCTTACAACACCAAGTATATTGGGCCCTTCCCATTTTGGAAGAAGCATTTGCATCAGTGCAGGTTAGCACACGAGGTAGAGAAAATATACCTAATAATAATAAGTTGACCCCATCTCTTGGTCACTCAGTGACTCAGATTTCCTACCTGAAAACTAGGCTCAAGCCAGTATCTCTCTGACTAGCCAAAATGTCTGCATATTTGAAAAATATGTAGATGTTGGGTACTAAGTGTACTCACTCAAATGATTGACTCACATTTTGGCAACTGCATAGTGCCAAATAACATTTTGGTAACAGACTTCACGGAATTAAAAAAAAAATCAACAAAAGGATTTTTGGTATAAACAAAATAGATCTAATTGTTCTGATTTTT